CTTGTTGTTCACCAGAAACAACGTTTGCCCTGTCATTCAAATCTCGCTCTCACGTTATTCAAATCTCGTAACGCTGGCTGTCAAATTGCGGCGTGACGTGCCGTCAAGTCACGCGACCCCCGTCTCGTGACGTTATAGGTCACGCGACTTCACGTCATCCTCACACTACGACTCCACACCGTGGCGTGACGGGACAGCGTGACGTCACGTTGCTCGGATGTGCGAATATATCGCTAATACATTCTGCGTACGCGGAACGTTTGGGCGGTAGATCAAAGGGGAGCCTCAGCTTTATTTTTTATCGTTGACGTTTACAGTCGTCGCGTTACAGGGTTTGAGTAATCTTGTACGCGCAAAACACAAGGGACGAACACGAGGGAGTGGACAAGCGCTTGTTCCTGTTCTTCGTCCTGTGTGTTCGCGCGTACAAGTTTACTCAATACCACGCACGTCTCGCTAAGTTACGCGGTTTACAGTCTCCCGAAATCTGTTAATGTTGCAGGCTGGTCGGTTTACTAAATTCGTGTTTCACAAAAAAAGAAACAAAAAATAAATATCGATACTTTTAAATAATAAAAGAGACCGCGCTACCGCCTTTGCTAAGAGCGGTGATCTGGGAGCCATAAAGAGGCTTTAGGTCTCGCCACGGGTCCATCATAAATATGCAATAAGGCTGCTGCGAATTTTTGTCGAATTTCGAGGTTCGACAGGTTCGGCGAATCCTTCGAAACTTTTCAGCTAAGTTGGACCAAGTTCGATTTACAGGAATTGTTGCCCGACTTCTAGACACTAAAAATTTCGAATTTGGGGAAACGAATAAATTACAAAATAGTTTATTTCATGATTTACAACAAACAAACAAAACTTTACCAATGTTCATTCTACATAAAAGCAAAGATGGGAACTTCTAAACCGCGGTCCTATCGCTAATACCATCGTACAAAACACGGCCTGCAGAAAATGTTGTTCGTTGCATTATGGTCCTGCCACATTCATTGGCCATTAAAAAAAAAGTGCAGACATCTTGGGAGCATAGATAAGCATGACGCCGAAGCATGCTTCGTATATACATAGAATAATTCCGATACACGCCAGAGATATGTTTGCTCTGATGCTTTAGTTACAGTTTATGAATGTGAAGCAATGAAACACAAATTGGCAGCGGTCTTTACCTCCCAAGTTCTGTAACCCATGCAATGCAGTTTTTTTAGGAGCGATTATTTCCGTTGTTTGGAAGACGATGAACAGTTATATATTTATATAATATTTTCTCAATTTGTGGGGACCTGCACTCGTTTTAGGTGACCAGGGAGGGGGCAGGGAGGCGAGGAAAGAAAAGGAGGGGAAGGGAGGCAGATGGGAAGAGCGAAGGGGAGGGAGTAAGAAGTAGGGAATGGGGAGTACGTGGAGAGGAGAGAGGAAATTGCTGTAACGTGACGTATATTTTGACGCTAAATTTATGTATGAAATGGAATTTTTCTATAGGTCGCGTGACACCAGGTCTCGTGACGTCGATTTCCCCCGCTAAATTTAGCGGAGAAACTGGATTGGTGTTCAGGTCACGTGACGTCGATTTCTCCGCTAAATTTGGCTGGGAAATCGAATTGACGTAGAGGTCGCCTGCCGTCAATTTCCCCACTAAATTCAGCTGAAAATGCACGGCCGGACAGGAAATATTTTTGAGATTGCGAGTTCCGTTAAAAAAAATTCATACTTTAACAAAACACTAAAATGAAAAACAAAAAGTTTGTTTAAAGGGCATGGGTGGGAAACGTATTAATATTTTTTTTATATTTCCAGGAACCAAATTTTCTTTCGAGCAATATTTACGCCGTTAAACATAATTTAGGTAGATGTCACGACCCGCTCTAAGCCCCACCCACAGAGCAGTAGCCCAGCCCATTACTACTGGATTGGCTTGGCTGCTCGGCCGAACACGCTCGCAAGCTAGTGTCTTACTTTCGCGACATCCCGTGCGTCTGGTGTGGCGTCTGACACCGCCTGCTCGTCGTGTGAGCAGTCGCACGGCAGCCTCGGGCATTGTCTGCTATCCCGCCACCTTCCGTCGTCGTCTGCAATGCCCGTAAGACGCGGACATGAAAGCTGCGCGTTGGGGTACATTTTCGCCTTCGTCCGTCTGCTATTCCGCCCCCGCCTAAGAACTTCTGCAACACTCGAAAGATGCTACCATGAAAGAGGCGTTCCAGCATGCGCGAACCAGGGCTAAATACAAGCGTCTGTCAGCGTCTGTCGATGTGCGGTAAAAAGCGACTGAGAGGACTAAAAAGATCAATAAAATAAACAAGAAGTCCTTTAAGCTTCTCTGTTCTTGTCATTTTTCTCGCATGGCGTCCGTGAGCGAGGTGGGAGAGCGTCATTATGCACAGTTAAAACGCGACCAAAAAATATTCATTTTGGCAGACCAAGTCCACTGCAAAAACGTCTGGGGCCCTTTATTATTGTTATTTTTCATTTCAATACTTTTTACATACCCAATAAA